CATTATTTATAGTTGACTTTCGTGTCTTAAAATGGAATGTGGCCAAAAGAATATTAGTATCGTTTTAAACAAGTTCACCGACATTATCACCCGTGAGAAACTCAAAACAGCTGAAGAGAATTTAGGGGGGGGGGTCGAAATAATGATTTTGAATTTGGACTTCCATCTCCTCCAAGTGAAGACGGATGTGGAAAGAAAAGAAAATTTATGGAAGTTGATGAGGAAGAATCAATAACTTTTGCTAAGGATTATGTGAAATATTTTCCCAAATATCTATCCAGTTTTGCACTATTCGATAAGGAGGTACGTAGATATTGAGCTGTTTAAAATTTAAGAGTAAAATTAATAGTATTAAAATTTCTATAATTCTTTTATTTTGAAGATATCCGATCCAAACTTCCGAAGAATTGTGTTGGTGCAAATTCTTATTATAATGCAATATCTTACAGGGTTTTTCCCAGAGGAACAGGCCCGTATTAACAAAGCGAAAGCACCCCACGATGCAGCCGCGGTTCAATTACCTACCTATACGATCATGGAACCACAAGTTAGTCATCAAATAAATTATCGTTACGAGATATATATATATCACATTAGATTATATGGTGATATATAATAAAAATCTGATTTTACGAAATAATAGCAACATATGATCCAGGAAATATGGAATAAAATCATTGGACAACTCGAAGAAACAACACCCAATGGAAAAAATTTTGTTCGCACAATACTACATATACTTAACATGGAAAAACGGTGGAATTATTGGAAATTTGCAGATAATTGCTCTTTTGGGTCAGATAAAGAAATTAAAGATAAAATTGAAAGAGCACGGGAAGATTTTGCTGAAGCTCTGAAGAGAAAGGCTAAGATGAATAAATCTATGGAGCCTTTCGAAAATAAAACGGGAGCAATCAAACTTTCAGAGTTTTGGACAAGAAGTGATGATGATGAAGAATTCATGGCAGATATATCTCGTAAAATCATAGCACCAGATTTTCACACAGTGTATGAGAAAATAAAGCAGGATGGGTATCCGGTAGGTTATAGTTATGGTGCTACTTTATAATTTTTATTATTTCTAAATTCATTTATTTGTTGTTTTATTTAGCCAGAGATAGGGTTTACCTTAGATCCATCAGATACCGTGGAAGAGAAGGAAATTAAGGAAAAGTGCTGGGTAATTAATCAATTTTACGTCTTTAGCAATTTAAATTTGAATAAAAAATAAAAATCTTTTAACTTATACAATAATTACATATCAGGTAAACAAATGGTTTGCATTGAGAACGGCCAGACATCATTATCTTCTTCATTTTAACAAACCGGTCAAAAAGGATGCGAAACTAAAAAATGCAAAGGAAGTTGAAGAGAAGAAAGATGATGTAGAAGCTTTGAAAACGTTGATTGATGAAAATCCGACATGCAGCAGTGGAATCGTTACGAAAAAGTGAAGGTTCAAGAAGAAGTATTTAAGGATAAAATTTTTGTAATTAACGAGAGTCTTTTCCCTTTTAATAAAGGTAAATTCTACGATTTTTATGTGTTACGGACTGACCTATGATCAAATCTTAAGCACCAAATTATCATCTAAAAAATTTTTACAGTGATATCTTAAAAAATTTTGATTGAATTAATAGACTACAATTTGTAAGAAATTTGAGTATAAAAGCCAGTTTCTTTCGAATTTAGAGAATAACGGAATAAATTTACAAAATTGTTTTTTAAAGTTTTTGATGCCCTTGAATTTTAAATTCTGATAATATTTTGCATAATCCATATCACACGACATTTCAACGTTGTCAGTTAAGTTATCACAACTCTAAATCAAATCGGCTGATCGAAACAAAATATAGGGTAGTACATATTGTATCTCTAAATGTACTGTATACTATAAGTTACATTATATTATA